TGTTAAACCATATTCCAAAGGATGAATGCCTAATCCAAATGGAATTAATTTGGATAATTAGTCCAACAGTCTTATTCCCTTACAAACAAAAATATATTGGACATATAAAATATATTTAGAAGGGAAATATGTTTTTTCGTTATCCATTACTATATAAAAAGAAGTCTTTGGGAAAGTTTGGTATTATTGGGTGGAAAAAGCACTGGCTTAGCATTAAGGCATGCGTTTTGGGCAGGTCACATGAACTGACTCCTTGCATTGTATTGCATTGCATTAATACGTCAAGAAAATAACCTGGCAAATAAGGTTAAATTAAACTTCTACTCTTAGTGGAAGGCTAATGCGAGACAAATATGTGCTTATTTTTCAGGGTTTATTGTGTCATTTAAACATATATTTAATTGTATATTAATATTAAACATATTTAATATTAATTAGTATTTAATAACATATTGGATATATTTAAGGTGTACCTGATGATTTGATACGATTACTACAGTCAAGCTAAGTAACATATCATCTCCTCCCATATTTGCTAATCTGTGTGTGTGATCAAATGCCTGCAATCTTCTGTCTTAGCGTATTTCCAGTATCTAACCCAATATTGTTAACTATAGTCATCATGCCTGTCCATTAGATATCTAGATTCATTGTCCCATATAACTGCAATTTTGTGCCCTTTCACTAATATCTCCTCTTTCTCCCTACTCCCTGTTACGTGATTTTTAAGCAGACAAACTCCCCTTACCTTAAACCAGAATATTGTAATGCTTATTTTTCTCCTCTAGTATCTATCCTTTTCTTTCATAACACTCACCATAGTTTGGTACTCAGATCTTTTTGTTTAATGTATATTTCCTGTAAATTCTCAGCTGTAGTATGGAAGATGACACAGGGGTCGGCAGTAAATAGCTGCTTGTTGTGGAAATACAATAAACACTTGATGTTGGTTATATCATTCAAACAACATTTACTGAATGCTTACAATGGTATTGTGTATGGCTCTTTCTCAGTAATGCACTAGTTGTCAGCTAGTTACATAACAAGAATGATAGGTTACGGTCTTAAAACGAGTTACACGAGTTTAGACTACATACTTTGTCACATCTCCTAAGACCTTGTCTTCTGGCAGATACAGGTATAATCCTATTTGTAAGTAAGCAATCTCTGCCCGCTTTAGGGTCATGCTAGACAACACAAAGTCTTCCATAAAGTAGTGAAAAAACAGACTTCTCACTGGTTAGATCTACATACCACTGGTATGTCCAATGCCTCCCTCTGCATGCTTATTCCCCCAGACCTCAAAGAAAAGCTTCAGATGATCTCATGCTTTGGGTCACCTTATCATATGTATTGAGCATTAGCTGAACAATGATTCAATATTTTCACAGAAACTGCTTTAGAAGAAGAAATATAAACTGAGTTTTTCTTTGGCTACTCACGATTCTCATATACAGTAAATCCTTGGATTGTGAGTAACTTGTTCTGTGAGTGTTCTGCAAGAGGAGCAAACATTTCTAATACATTTGAACTTGATAAATGAGAGATGTCTTACAATATGAGTAGTGCGTGATGCTGAATGTCACATGGTCACCACTGAGCCAATGGTTCTTGAAATTCACTTCGATATATGAGTGCTTTGGATTACAAGCATGTTTCTGGAACAAATTATGCTCACAAACTAAGGTTTTATAGTATATGGTCTACAACTGTAAAGGCGACACAAATGTGAATAAACCACTTGGAGGAGCTTTAAAGGGTAACACGCTCCCTTACAAGTTCCTTCCAAGTTTTGTATATGTTCTTTAGGCTGAGCAGACAATGTCAGAAACCACAGAAATAACTTTTATCTGGTTATAATAGTTGGTGAGGGGGAGAATGCCCTGGTGGTTAAGAGGAGTAAAGGAAACCAAATCAAGATAAGGAAGCACACTAAACAAGTTATTCGCTAAATTGGTTTACATTTGGCTCACTAATAAATTTTATTCTAGGCATGCAAAATTTAAAATGTGACTAATATCACTTTACCAGGGTTGAGTAAAGAATGCCAAGCACTGGGTAGAGTTTCCCTGTGGAGACAATGGGAGCATGAGCAATTTGGTTCTGTCAATTGTAAACAAGTAAGACAAATAACTGAATGAATGAATGAACAAATGAATGAATTAATGAATGAATGAGTCAGTCAATCAATGGTGAGAACTGCTTCCCTGCTACTGTTTTATTCAAAATCAAGCATGTAAGACGCATTTAAAAAAATAGCTATTTGGGCGCCTGAGTGGCACAGTCAATTAAGCATCCAACTCTTGGTTTTGGCTCAGGTTATGATCTCGTGGTCATGGAATCGAGCCACACGTCTGGCTCTGTGCTGAGTATGGAGCCTGCTTGGAATTCTCGCTCTCTCTCTCTCTCTCTCTCTGTCTCTCTCAAAATAAATAAACATTAAAAAATACAGCTACAATTTAAGGATGAATTTTTTGTAAAGGTAGGGACAATAATCTTAAAAGAAAAAGAGAGAAAGGAAACAAATCATTTTAGAGTAGTTTGTGTACACTATAGTGAGGTTTTTTGTTTGTTTGTTTTGTTTTGTTTTTGTTTTGTTTTGTTTTAGGACACTTCCCTAAGAGTGTGAAAGTAGACACACAATTCTCATTAAATGTGCTTTTCCCATAACTGGTCCATGAGCATTTCCCATGACTCCACAGTTGAGGATCTTGGCTGGAAGAGGATCTGGCCATTAGAAGGAGGGCTCTAGATACTCTGAGTCCCAGCCGTGCCGAGAAACTTGGCACCTTTATATGCTACTTCCTAATACCAACCCCAGCATAAAATGTCATCAGAAGCCTGCATAAACATTGGACTTAGATTCACATAAATTATTTCGGTCCTAAGGTGCTCTCTGCCAGAATTTAGTAAAAACAACACTTTGAGTAAATAGAATTGGCGTATAAATGTAAGAATATTAATCCAACAAAATGATCATAGAAAAATATAATCAAAAGTACACATTTGTAAATCTTGCAATGATGTGAGAGGTTTATCTTGTGCCTCTGAGTTTTTATTGAACATTTCCATAGAGTTCCTTTAAGCTGATGCTGCCAAAGTGCTTTGAATTATCAGTTGCTTTGTGGAATTGTAAAGTCTTTGAGTTTCATTAAAATGCTTAGGATTTATTTTAATAATCATATGTGTGATTAGTGCCTGTTTAGTGCTGGTTCGACAAATTCATTTTAAGAGTAAACACTGGGACAATGAAACATAATGCTAGATATGATTGCTGCTGTCAGCAAAAACATTGCCTTATTTTATTAAAAATCACCAACAAATGCTGTGAACAGAAGATACGGTTTCTATTTATAGATATTTTCTACACTACAATATTATGGTATCTGCATACCACAAGGCTATACCTAGCAGAGTTTTCATTTTGCCTAGGGTATGTACATATGCAAAGAGGTACAGAGCCCCCCCTCCCCGGTTTTTTATATGTGCACAGGTCTTTTTATGTACGGCTCCCCCCAAAGTCCTATTTGGATATTAGCTCTAATATAAGAGTGTTCACACCGTCAGGGCTGAGTATTTATAAGTGGATGAAGATCTCCTGAAAATGATGATAATTTAGCTATTGGCCATAATAACATTTTAACATTCTCAGTGATCCATTTTGGCCTTAAGTACTTATTAAATAATATTTATTCTTAAATTATGAACTTATGAAATTAAATGCGATTGCAACATGCAATAAAAACACATTTCTCTCTAAACTCCAATTGACTCCATTCCTCACAGATACCTCTTCTGTGTTCATTCTGCTTTTACTGTTTTCTACTCTCTGTGAGCCCCCAGCTCTTCTCTCTGATGTGTTGATACGCTTTCCCCCAAAGCCACTTTCTTTATCTACCTTCCTTACCCACTCGTCCCCTTCTTGTTATTCTCTCATTCCCTACTGATATGGGAATAATAGGATCCCAAGGCTGTCCTTACAGTATAATTAAAGTATGAATTTCCAGGAGTTGGAAATTGCAGACCATTTTTATTATGCTTCTATAATAAAGCCAGGTAACACTGAGAGAATTAAAATGGCTTTTTCCTAGTAGATAACTTGGTAAAGATATTTTTCCCCCTTGATTCTATTGTTTTAAGAGACTGGGAGCTGAAAATGGGAATAGATTCACCAATTCTTTTTCTGAAAACACCTCTATCTTTTACATGATATATATCCCCCTAGATCCTGGGAATATGTTGTAAACTTGTAACAGATGGTGATGAAGCTTCACATTTTTATACAATACATTTTTTTGAGATTCTGCATCTACTGTATGTATCTTTCAGGGAAAATGACCTTGAATGAATGAAGTCATAGTCTGAAGGAAAAACACCCCACAGATAGACCAGCATAGAAATGATGAGTCAATTGGGTTTTGTTCTGTTCCCTTTGGTAAGATGAAATAATTTAAGATGAAGAACAGAATGTTGAAATATAGGAACCAAAGGTCATCTTAACACTGGAGGTGCATCTGATAATTGTTCTAGGAAAACCAGTTAGCCATATTCTATATTGAACAGAAACACACAGAAGATGGGATATCACTGTTTGCAAGTAGGAATGCTATTTGCTTCACTTGGGTAATGTTGGGGGCTTACCAAAAATTGTTCTGGCACAACATCTATCAGCATGAATGTTAGGAGGGTTCTAACACTGTGAGTGCTGATATTTTATGAATGTTTTATCACTGGCTTGAAAACAAGAAGTTTGCGATTGAATCAACAACATGTCAGACAGACAAAATATTAAAAAAAGAGAACATTAGTGGGAATTACTGATGTCCCTATTGTAAAAACAAACTGAAGTTAATAAGAAACCTGATCCTCTTAACCGATTAACAAAAGTCAAGTTTTAATTGCATGGCTTCCCAGACAAATCAAGTGGCGCTGTTAACTTGAGCATTGGTTGTTTAGAGGGTGCGCTAATGGGGAAAATTGCTACATATTCAGTTACCCACCTCTTTTTTCGACAGCTTCAATGCATTGCTTTACAAACCGTGGAACTGTGGAATTTTCACGTTCACACACTGTGTGCAGATGAGAGCCAAAAATTTGATCTGCAAAAGAAACAAAGATGAGCTTCATTAAAATCCAAGATTGCGTTGTTCTTTAATTTGATTCTGTTTCCATATCCACTGCAGGCTGAAATCTGTGTCTTGCATAGGAAACGATTTTTTGCTTTAATTCCAAAGGGTCCAGTGCAGAGATACAAAGACCATAACCCCCTCCTTCATGGAACAAGACTCTGGCCCCAGAGAAGGAAAACTAACACTCTGCCATCGATTAGGCAGGGATGACAGAGTAAGTGATAGTCTCTCTGGGCATAACTTCGTTGTTTATAAAATGATGACAAGGGATTAAGAAAACTTCTACAAAATAATTAATCTTAATGAATTGGTGTATTGACTGTTTTAGAAGAAATTTATCAGCAATCACCAAAATCATAATTTTATCAGTATATTGAAAGATTCATTCCATGGGTCAATGATATTTGAAGACGCAGGTTCCAGGAGATTTACTTTGAAGTGAATTTCTTAACATCTCTCTTGCCTTGAATGCCCTTCCTCTTCTCTACTCTAAGTATCTCCTTTCCTTTCTAGCTCCACTCCAACCACATTTTCTCCACAAATTCTTTTCTTCATATCTCAGCTTTGTGTCTCTTTTGACATAAGTTCTTTGGAATACTATTTCCTGGGGATGTTAATAGGCAATTTGGGAGGGAAAAAAAGCCGGTGATCAAAACAGTTTAGCAATGTTGGGTTAAACAAAGTTAAATGAGTTTCTTTCCTGTGTAGTTTACAGCCTGTGATATGCCAGCATGCACTGGGAATCTCCACAAGGGGCTGGAGGATGCACTATTTCCAAACTTATTTGAGTAAGATCCTTTTATTTCAAAGGGCATCTCTCCAGGCTAATGTTTCCGGGAACACACTCTGAAATCCTACCCTAGTCTTCTCATTTGTACAATGATTTATACTGCTTTGCGTTGTGTATTTACACTTATAATATATGGGATGTATTTTCTCAAAGAAGATTCTGAGTGTTTACATCACCTATGTGTTCGTATAGTCACTAGTGCTTAGCTCAGATTCTGGCCCACAGAATTCGCCCATAGATATTTTTTATTGTGGTAAAATATACATAACCTAAAATTCCCCCATAACCATTTTTACATGTACAGTTCGGTGGCATTCTTACACGTACATTCTTGTGTAATTATCACCACCACCCATTGCCAGATTTTTTTTAAACAGCATAAATGGTTATTACTGATGATAAAACAAATAGTTAGAAGGTTCAAGGGCTTACCATATTGTTCAAAATGAACTCCAATTCCCTACTGAAACTTCCAAGGCAATATGTGACCTGCCCTTCTACCCATTAATTGATTTCATTTGCTTCCTTTCTCCTCTCTCCCCCTCATCACTTGCCTGCAGCCACCCTATCCACATTGCTGATGCTTGTCTATGCCAAGCACAGTCCTGCCTCAGGGACTTTGCACTTATTATGACCTCTGTATGAAACTCCATTGCCTTAGGTGTCTTGTAGCCTTTCTTACCCATTTGTTTTCATGGCCCCACTGCAATAGGAACTCTCCATGATACTTCCCTGTTTTACTTTCCTTAGAGCACTTACCTCCACTTGGAATATCAGATTGTGTTTATGGGTTACTTGTTTCCACTATTAGAATGCAAAACCCAGGAGAGTAAAGACTATACCTATTTCTTCCCCTCTCTTCCCTTCCCCTCTCTTCCCTTCTCCTCTCTTCCCTTCCCCTCTCTTCCCTTCCCCTCTCTTCCTTTCCCCTCTCTTCCCTTCCCCTCTCTTCCCTTCCCTTCCCTTCCCTTCCCTTCCCTTCCCTTCCCTTCCTCTTCTTTTTTTCTTTATTTGTACATACACAAGTTGGGGAGGGGCAAAGGGAGAAGGAAAGAGAGAATCTCACTCCCCATGGAGACCTAAGCAGGCTCTAACTTACAACTGTGAAATTATGAAATTAAAAGTCAGACATTTAACCAACTGAGCCACCCAGGCACACCTAGATTACACCTATTTACTTTCTTACTGGGTCGCTAGTAACTGGATAATGTTGGGCATATATCAGAAGTTCAACAGACATTGATTAAATGATTGACTATAAGACACTGCGTTAATCAGCAGTGGAGGTTGTTGATAAATTAAAAAAAAATCTTTGTAGTAGAAGTGGGGAGAAAAGTAAAATGCAGCAAAACCGAATGGTAAGTGAAATATTACAAAGTGGGTAGTCAAAATCGAATGTGGTGAGACTTCAGGGAAGGCATGATTTTCACCCACTACTTAGAAAAGGTCATGACTTAAATTAAGGACAACCCAGCAAGGAAGGAAATAACTAAGGCTAAAGTGACAATATAATATATTTCAATATGAAAATGTACATTTTCATCCAAGAGACAAAGATTATAAGCTCAAAAAATATCAACATAGGGTAGACAAGTGGGAAAGAATCATGGGTATTTGCTTTGAATACTTCTTCAATAACAAAGGTTTGTTCAAAAAAAACCACTGCTATAAGACAAAATGACATAAAATACTATTTAAGAAAAATAACCCAAAACTTCCAATGGAATCATTTAAATTGGCTAGAGATTATAGTTATGAAGAATTGCTACAAAATACACAACCCTCTAATGGAAGTTATGCTTCAAATCTATTTCACAAATATTCATTGAGCATTTGGTGGGGCATCAGAACCATCTTGTTGCCCATGAAAGACTTACCAGAGGAGAAATAAATCTTTAAGGAAAAGTAAGACTTACTTGAAGAGGTAAGAGCAGGGATCAAAGGCCATTGAGAGAAAATGGAAGAAAGGCATATAAATATATCAGTGATGGGAACAATGACAGGAAGAATAATATGTGCTGAGGGAAATATTCACTCTTTCTTAGAGAAATTTTGATGTATTAAGCTTTAAAAGAAGATGAAGATGGTGTTATGAAGTCTTAAATATTAAGTCAGGTAGGTTACATTATTTGAACTGTGCAGGTACCAATGATTTCTAATATATACACTATTGCCACCCCAACTTCTTGTTTTTAGATCTATTCATAACACAGAGCCTGAAAATGTCCCCTATTGGCTTCTGCCTTCCTTGCAACTCTGGGTGGTTAGAGAGCTCTGATCAATAAAATGTAAGGGGAGATTACTTGGGAGACTACAAGAGATTTTTTTTTTAACCAAATCAAAGGAGAGGGGTGTATTAAGGCATTTTTTCTTTTTTCTTCCTTCTTTGAACATCACTGTGCAATCATGTGATATGTGGAGCCACTGCAGCAATCTTAACACCATGAGGCAACAAGCTTGCAGACAAAAGCTAGTAGGATTTTTTAAAAAGGTTACAAAAAACAAGAGACCTCAATGACATTGAAGAACTAAATCTAGAACATTTTTTCTAGATTTCTTATTATGTGACATAATATAAGTCATTTTAAACTGGGTATTCTATCCCCTATAGATGAAACATTCATGATCGAATGGAGGCACATGTTGTGAAGAAGACTGAACACAAAGAGATCAGCTAAGAGGCTGATATGATTGCCTAGGAAAGTGTTATAAAGGCCAGAATGAGGATAGAAGGGTGGCAAATTTAATCATCATTCACAATTTTTCTCTACTCTGAATTAGATTTATACATTCATCTCTTTTGCTGTGTGACTATGTGGTAAAACTCATTAACGTGGGCAACACTGATTTGCACCATTTCACTGATGTTGGACTTGGCTATAGACTTGCTTTGGACAATGCAGTGTGGGTAAAAATGACAATGTGTCAGCTCCAGATGGAGGCCTTAAGAGGCATTACAGATTTCTATTCACCTGCCTGCTTTTCTGCTATTGCCAAGATAAGAGCTTCCCTGGGTAGCTGTTGCCCTTTCAGTCTGGGCTCCAGAATAAATACATATGGTGCAGATCTGAGGCCAATGCTGTCAGGAGACAAGTCTAGTCAGATCTGCAGCTTAAAGAAGAGCTATCCAGTCAAGCCTGCCCCAGGCCACTTGACCCACAGACATGTCAGAAATAAATGCTTCTTGTTGTTTGTCACTGAGATTTTATGTTTGTTTGTTATGCAGCAGTAGCTTACTGATAAAGATGGTAACAGGAGTCCAGGTTGTTGGTGACCTAAGCTATGCCATGAGAATGAGAACAAAGAGAATTGACAGGACATAGAAGTTGAAGCAGGGGGGCAAATAGATAGGGAAAAAATTCTGAATATGTTAGGAATGTGGAATTATGCATCAGTCTAGATTCCACCCTAAGAAGGAGTCCCAAAGGAAATTTTTCTCCCCTTAATTTTTTTAAATGTTTATTTATTATTGAAAGAGACAGAGTGCGAGGAGGGGAGGGGCAGAGAGAGACAGAGACACAGAATCTGAAGCAGGCTCCAGGCTCTGAGTTGTCAGCACAGAGCCTGACGTGGGGCTTGAACTCACAGACATCAGAGATCATGACCTGATCCGAAGTCAGACACAACTGATTGAGACACCCAGGCGCCCCTCCCCTTAAAATTAACTCATTAGGCTTTACCTAATATTATGGCGCTTTTAACTCTATATTCTCTCAAGATCAATTCTATTCTATCAAATTCAGTTTAGCGTCTAGTTTGTGAGCACCTGTCATTTGCTGGATATTGTAAAGAATACAAATTCTGATTCATTCATTCAGTGACTTTATCATATGTCCACTCTAGGCCAGGCACTGTGCTCCAGCTCCATCACTGTGCAGTGATGCCTGAAGCATCTCCTACAGTCTGGGGTGGTGGTGGTGGACAGTGCTCACAAACATTTTCAATATCATGTAATTGGTGCTATTGCAAGTGTGTGTAGTATTAACAGTGAAGCTTCGTTGTGCACTTACACTAAGCCGGGCATGGTTCAAAGTACTTTATATATTCTAACCTTATTAAATCTTTACACCAGTTGTCAACCCTTTCGTGGTAGATACTATTAATCTTATTTTATGGGAGAGGAAACAGAGGCCCCCAAATATGGAGTCTTGCGTCCACAGTTACAGCACATCAGGCTCTA